AAAAAAAACTTAGAATAACTCTATTGTTTTTTAAACTTAAACGTTGATTAAAAGAGGTAAAAATTTCTAATTTTTTAGACTTAAACGTTGATTAACACCATAGATTGAGAGTTTATATTTAGTAAAATTCCTTATTGTAATAAAAAAATTAATTTTTGCTATATTTTAGAATATCTTTAAATTCATTATATAAAAAAAAAAAAAAAACTACAATGAAAAAAGCAAGTCAGCTATATATCGATTTGTTGTACTCCTCAAATCACATTCACAATTTGGCTACAAGGAAAGGAAACTCATTGATTAAAATTATATTTTGTCAGTAGTCTTAATGTACAAGAGACTTTAAGACTCCACTTGAATATTATACAACTTTTATTGAACATTGTATAATTTTCTTGCGTATTATAAACTTTATTTGAATATTGCATCTTATAATATAATATTCTCTAAATAAATATATCTCGTGCTTTGCACGGGTCACGTACTATATATATTCCGTACATCTTTCTTTATTCATGTATATAATTATAAGCCTGGATAAATAGCCTTAAAAATGTACATCCCGTGCATCGCACGGGCTCTGTACTAGTTATTAACTCCACGTGGTAAAAATCTGCATCTCAAAGTACTTGAATGGACATATGTCTCCGTAAAATTTAAATTTGACTCCGCGTGACAAACTTAAATAGACATGTGTTTACGTAATTTTTATTTTAGCCAGCCACAGCTAAAGATGGCCCAATCAACGGGCCACGGCCCGGCCCGGCCCGAGCCGGCGAGCCTCCCATGGGTGACCCTTAATCAGCCCGCCAAAAATCAAGGGCGGGGCCCGTGAACCGGCCCGGTCCCGGCCCGCCAGGACCAAAAATAGAAAAATCGGACTCGAAAACGACCCGTAAAGCCACGGTGACGGTTATCAGAACCGGCAACCTACGGACCAGTTGCGGGCTGGGTCTGACCGGCCCGTGGTCATGTCTTGCCACAGCCACGGTATCCGGAGTTATGCACCGACTAATCCGTTGGTCCACCCGGGTCGCACACTTGGCAGTGGTGGGTGAGTCTCCCAACAAGAGTTTTCTGCACCTACAAGGACTCGAATTTATTCTAACCGTGTAGTGCCATGTGTATGGAGTGCACTTGGTACAATGCATCTCGCCATCTTCACTCTCCTTGTTGCTATTGCACCTTTGCACACAAGGTACTACCAATTATCAATAATCGAGTCGATTGTGGGACAAACTCATGTGTCCGTTGCCTTTAAATAAAAACATTAAAATTTTGATTATAACAATAAAATATGTATAACATTTATATGGAATGATTTTATAAACTAAAATTGAAATATATTTTACGTATTATGGAATCAAATTTTAGCATTTATATTGAAAAAATAAGAATCGTAATCTAATATATTTTTGCAAATGAAATTTACTTTCCTAATTGTAGTGGACTTTTTTTTTTAGAATTTTAGTTTTGTCTAATTACTATAGGGGTGGCCAGTCAACGGGCCGGGTCACGGCCCGGCCTGGCCCGCCGGGTCGGCGGGTCTCAACTTCATGGCCCTTAACCGGCCCGGCATTTTCTAAGGGCCCGTGGGTTTGGACCGGCTCTGAACTGCCGGGTCACGGACCCGCCGGTTTTTGGCCGATTCCGGGCCGGTGCGGCCCGTTAAAAAAAGCATTGCCACCCGTCTTCCAACACTGCGGCCCGGCCCGGCCCGACCCAGCCCTCCGGGACAAAAATAAAAAAATAATGAATCAGGATCGAATCGCGACCCTAAGGAGGTCGGTTCGGGCCGGGCCGGAACCGGTTCACGGGTTGGTTCTCGGGCCAGTTCGGCCCGTGAACATGCCTAAATTACTATCAATATGAGAAGAATCGTAACCTTTTTTTTTTTTTGCAAACGAATTTTACTTTCCTAACTGTAGTGGCCTTTTTTTGAAAATTTTATTTTTGTCAAATTACTATCAATATGATTTTCAATATCTTCAAATTATACTTATTTTAGGATTATTACATATCCGATTTTTAGTTGGTGAGATTATAAAAAAATTTCAATTGTCCAATTGTTAATTGGGTATGAAAATCATGCAAATTGCGCCTAGGCTACTGTTAATTATAATAATGTTAAATTGCTATCAATTAGAGCTTTAAAAAGACTTAAATTGTGCTACCTTATGGAATCAGACTTTAGCATTTGTATTGAAAAAAAAATTCAAATCTAATATTTTATATGCAAATAAAATTTACTTTCCTAGCAGTAGTGTACTTAAATTGTGCTACCTTATCAACTTGAATGATAAATAGGTTGAAAATTAGTTTTATTGTGATTATGAACAAAAAATGAACAAAAAAAAAAAGATTTTCATATGTATAATTGTATTTTATTATTGGAAAAATCGTATTTTTTATAATTGGTAATCTTTTGTTCAAGTTAACTAAATTCGTATTTTTTTATTGGGAAGAAATAAAAAACGTTTAAAATAAACTGATAGTTTAAATTACAAAACTTCAAATTTTTTGATTGCCAGGACAATCAGCTTTTAAAAAATAAATAGCATAAATATATCCGATAGACACAAAATTAGGTCCGATTTTGTTTCCAAACTTACCCAATATTTACATTTAAAACCCGAAAACATAGGCAGGATTATTCAAAATTTGGCCAAAAAGATTACTCAATCCAAATATTTTTTTTACTGATTTTTAGTTATGATTTCAAATAAATATCATTGTCTCTTTATATATTAATAAAAGATTTGAGCTCAATGATGGAGATTATTAGAAGAAGCCCAAGAGGATATCAATTACTAAGTCTATCATCATTAATGGTTGTTGGGCCAATTTGGCCGAAAGGGGTAGAAAAAAAGACA